AATCCTCTTATTACCCCCCCCCCCCCCCCCCCCCCCTTCCTCTCTGTCCTTTCGGGGTTGGGCGGCATTTGTGGGAAAGTGGGGGTGGAGACAGCTGCCTCCACGGCAAATGCCAGCTCCACCCCCCGCATCAAGCAAAGCCTCTTACAATAATATTCTGATTTGCCGGTTTATTCTCACGATGACCAATTGAATTATTTCTTTTTTTTTTTTTTTTTAAATCATCACATCCATTTGGGTGGTTACAGGGCAGGCAGAACCCTTGAAAGTCCTAAGTGTTAGTTTGCAGAGAGGGTGGGCTTCTTCCACGGGATGTCTTGCTTAATTCCCTCGCCCCATTTCACCTATTTAATCTCTTAAATCCATGCCTACCAAACCTCACACTATTTATTGCAGATGTTTTAAAAGCTTCCCTTCTGCATCCTGAGTAAACATTTCTCACTGATATACGCCTGACAGCCTGTCATTCCTAATCCAATGTGGACGAAGCATCTGGAATCTCACAGGAGATGCCGTACAGGCCTCTCTGCTCTGCTCTTCTTTCTCCCCAAACCCTGCCTTCATCCTTAGGGAATGAAAGGAGCACAAGGCATTTAGTGGGACTCGCAGACAATTTAATCAAGGGGTGAGTGTCAGCGGGCAAAAGGGAATCCTGATTTAGGGAGTGTGGGGTTCTGTGACAAATAAAAAAAATCAGTTTTAAAGCTGAAATCTGTTGATTGATGATGAGTTTCTTTCATTTTAACCTGATCACTATGTATTATTTGAGGTGCTGTAGTGCCTAGAGGTTACCTGTTGTCTATCTCATTTTAACCTTTTAAGACGACAAAATGGCTTTACATTTTGTATGGTGGCACCATACCTTAAATTCTAGGTTGCTCTTGAAATACCAGCTTTGTAGTCGTGGTAACCTTGGTGACAGCTTAAATCTAGGCTTCTTCTGTTACGAGTTCCGATCCATCATCCAATTGAACATGTTGAAACTAACATTTAAAAGTACTGTACTAAAAATAAATAAGGTTGGTCAATATGTCCTCTATGTTGACTGTTGCCCCTCTATTTTCGTTACCTAGCTCTTTTTTTTTTTTGTGGTGGATGTGGGTTTGACACAGGACTAGCAAACCGAAAGTATATTGCTTTCAATTCCTACTTGATTTTTATCTCTTAATTTGCAAAGTTGCTAATCATATTGGGGGGAAAAAATCTTTAGTGATTGTTTTGCCAGTTTGGAGTATGTGCCTTATTATATGGTACACTGAATCTTCTCTAAATTATATATACTGAAACCCTGTTACATTGTTACAATTAAATCCGCATGATCTGTCTCATTGTACAGTGTTTCAGGAGTCAAGCTGTTCAGCAGGGTCATCCTATTACTATCCGAAGTCGATTAAGTGAATCTTTCGGTTATGTGTCTGTGGAATAAAAACTTCATCGGCAATTCTGTTCACAATATTTACCGTAGCGCTAAAGGTTGTCGACAAGTGTACTCTGACTAGAGTTCGCAGTTTTAATACACGTGGATTTTCTCTCTTGTCTGCCAATTGATCATACAAAGTTGATTGGAAAATCAGTAGATAGAATCGTATGTGGGTTAAATGCCACACATGAGGGAGTTGAGACGGCAGTTTGCAGTCAGCAGTTTGTTTTCCGGTTTGCATCAAGTAAAAATCGCGTAATAAAGTAGTGCATTTATCCAAGACAGCGAGGCGCTGCAGTGCACGGCGACTCCAGTAGGTTCTTTTTGTTTTGCTGGAAGTTGAAATCTTGTGTAGTATAACATGTACAATAATTCATTTAAAGTCTTACGACTGCATATTGTTGTCTATGCTCATCGAGTTTAAAAATACTCTCTCAGTTTTCTCATTTATTTGCTGCTTTACTGTGTAGTTGCCGTCCACACATGCGCAACACATTGGCTTGGTGCAAATGTCTTTCCTTGCTATTCTTACGTATTCGATTATTGTGAAATATACATTTCATGCATATTACGACAACATTTGGTTTGCAATTCTCAAGGTATGCTTTCAGGGTTTTTTTTTTAATACTCACAAAACCTCGATTCTACGTTGCAGCTCGTTAGCATTGGTTGTGTAGTTAAATACATTAACCGTAATTACTGCACCGTATTTTGCATATTGCGAGATGTTGAACTGACATACTTTAATGTATTACTCGATTTTAACACAAGTAGGTATAGCACGTCCGATATCCTGCTTCCTATACTCGCGTTTCTTGCTATTTCTGCTATGGATAAAAGACCCAAGGAAAAATTGGCAGCCGGTCTCCGACTCGCTACGATGGATTAAAAAGCAATGATTGACACGCGCATGCAGTATTATCACACGAGGAAATTCGTTTGGCAGAAGTTACAGTACTGTCTCGATCCAGTAAGCATATTAATGCATCAGTTTTAACACTGTGCAATTATGAATGAAAAATAAGAACCTTTTTGTAAACTCAAAATGAAACACCACCTAAAAGTAAATAATGATTGTGAAGGGGAACTTTAACTCAGGGTTTCTAATCGAGTAATATGAAGCTGTATTTGTAAGAAAATATTTACTTAGGAAAGCAGACCCCAGGACAGAGAAATAATATTAATTTCATTTTCATGTTCTAGAAATGTTATTCGAACCAGTCACTGCTCGTCCTATGGGTAATACGTGCTAAGAGTGAGATGACGGCTTCCAGAAGCAAAGACCTAGGCAATGGTTCCTTTTAATGTAATAATACTTAATCAACGATTCAAAGGGAACTGTCTGACAAAATGGACAGAATAGGTCACACTAGGCGGTGACTGGGGGGGGGGGGGGGGAGTCTTGTTTCCCAAATATGGACGTGATTGGTTGCCTGGAGTCACAGCTACAAGGGCCAGATTAGTTGCTGGAGGAGGCGGGGCTTATCTACATTGACTGGACCTGTGTGGTGGTTTTACCTGTTCCACCTGCCCTTGTTTCGTGCCGCCCAGCCCCTCCCACCCCCTTTCCACTTCAAGCTAGTCTGCTGCACGATCAAACGGCAGGTTCCTTGTACAAACAAGCTGACTTTCTACCAAGCAAGGGGAAGGGCATACAGGACTAGCCTTGTCCCTGTTCTCACACACACAGGTCCCTCCTGGTGATTAGAGGTTCGTAAAGGGGACCTTTTCCTCTTTTCTGTCGAATGCTGCGATCTAGTCAGAAGGTGGTTGGTTCCTGGAAGAACGACAGACATTGAATGGACTGAGAATGGGGTCAGATGAGCCATATAATTTTGTCTTCAAAGGTGAGTTTTCATTTTTATAACATAAAGAACATTTAACCCAGGTGTTACGTTGAACTATCTGAGCATTGATATTTCTGCACAGTAGATGTGGATATGAATGAGGGCTGACAGAAGTCCTGGACCTTCTGCTTATCTGGATCTTCTGCTGAAGGCTGTCACACCATTAAATAACGTGTCTACAGGGACACATAGCAACAAGTTGTTGGCTTCATAGTTATTCAACGGACGGCATTTCTGTTTTTCCAAAGATTTCATGGCTTACCTGTTGAATCAGGAAGTCACAGACATGTGATATCACCTGATAAACACCTGCTATATTGACATAAATGGTCCCCGTGGAGAGAGGCTGATATGCACCTGTTGTCTTGAAGTTCCTACATTAATATGTTTTAGGCAGCTGAAATAGATTGTCACCATAATAGTTTGCCACTATAATGAACATATATTGCCTTGTACGTTCTTTCTTTTGTTATTCATCCAGCATTTAGCACACAAGGACTGCAAATACACTTTGTGATTTACACATTTGTATGGCCTAACAAGCATACTTGCCAAAAATTTGTTACAGGTCCTACTGAATCTTTGGAAATCTTCAAGACAAATACAGGCCTTGTTTGTTATATATTGTATTTTGAGGACTAAATGTCCCCACAATTTGATAAAAACCGGCTATTTTTACGTTGTGGGGACCCCCTTTTCAAACCCCACAAGGGGAAACTCAATTTTATAAAAATCTGTCAGTGCAATCAAAAAACTAAAAACGCCAAAACTCTTGTATTTTGTTTGGTTACTTATGGGTATGATTAGGGCTGGGTAGGGGTTAGGCTTGTCATTGTTGGGGTTAGGGTTTTGCCCATAGAAATGAATGGATAGTCTCCACAAAGATGTGAATATAAGTGTGTGTGTGTGTGTGTGTGTGTGTGTTTGTGTGTGTGTGTAAAATGCCAAAGAAGTGACAGTCACAGAACTTGGAAAGCCACAGTCATGGAGACCCATTGTTTTCAGAGGTGTCTGCCTGAGGTGCATTTCCCCGAAAAATTAATGCTCCTTTTGAACTGACGTCACTCACTTAACAAGGTTATTCGTGGTGACAAGAAATCTACAAACATTTATTCCATCTAAAGGATGTGTCTGCTGTTGAAATGAATTCTTCTGATACAAAAACATTACCTGAATGAAAACTACACACGTGTACAAACAAGACACACAGTCTGTTTTTTTTTTTTATGTACTTATTTTATATTCCCTCCAGGTAGAGAAGGGTTCCAGGATTAATGCGATGAAAGATTAGTAATACAGTTTGTTGTAAAAGAAGTCGACAAAGTGGGCACTTTAAGCTTGCCTGCTTGTTAACACAATCTGCCTGCTTATCTTAGCAGCGATTCATGTAACTGAATCCATGCTACATGCATGGAGACGGAGTCAGGAGGTTCTGTTACTCTGCGGTTAAGTGTTAGAACAGCTAAGATGTGTGATCTAAGTGAACTGAAACATGCCAGACGTAGTAGTTCCAGAATCTTAGAAACCACTAGCTGGGATTTCTTCCCCCACACTACAGTGTATAGAGTT